GTAACCCTGCCAGGTAGGGGCCAGCCACAGCTTCTCTGGGCACGCTGTGCCAGCGCCTCAGCACCCTCACAGGGAAGAGCTTCTGCCTAATATCTAACCTCTATCTACCCTCTTTTAGTGCCATTCCCCATTGTCCTGTCACTACCTCCCCTTGTAAAAAGTCCCTCTCCAGATTTCTTGTAGCCCCCCTTTAGGTACTGGAAGGCTGCTATAAGGTCTTCCCTGAGTCTTTTTCTCAAGGCTGAACAACCTCATGTCTCTCAGCTTGCCTCCACAGGAGAGGTGCTCCAGCCCTTAGATCATCTTTGTGGCCCTCCTGTGGACTCACTCCAACAGGTCCATGTTCTTGTCCTGGGGGCCCCAGAGCTGAATGCAGGACTGCAGATGGGATCTCATGAGAGTGGTGTAGAGGGGGAAAATCACCTCGACCTGCTGGTCATGCTCCTCTTGACGCAGCCCAGGACAGGGTTGGTTTGTGGGCTCTGAGCGCACACTGAAGCTGGCTCATGTTGACTTTTTCATCAGCCAACACCCCCCAGGCCCTTCCCCTCAGGCTGCTCTCAACCATTCTCCTCCCAGCCTGTATTTGTGCTTGGGATTGCTCTGACCCAGGTGCAGGACCTTGCACTTGGCCTTGTTGAACCTCATGAGGTTCCTTACTTTGGGACTAAAGTGGGAATACAATCATGTTTTATATCCTTCAAAGAAACCAACATTCAAAGTCCCATTGCTTTAGTACATGTATGATCAAGAGAGTGCAGTGGTAAAAACCTTTCAGAAATCTCCTGGTCTGTGAGTGCTTGATGTTAATACTCCACTTTTTACTTTATGTTTCCCTCAATTTTGTTTCACAAATGTGCACACTGGCAACACCTTACCCAGAAATGCACTCTCGTCACCTGAAGTAGGCCTAGCAGAGACATCATGAACTGGAGGTCATAGCATGGTCTCAGTACTGCTGTCTCCAGCTCTGGCATCCTTCACTGTACCAAGCGCAGCCTCTCAGCAGCTCAGCTGTGCTTCATGTCTAACCGTGGATGCTGCTTTGCTCTGCTTTCAAAATATTAAATGCTACTCATGAATATAGTGCAAGACAGAAAAATAAAAAAGGTAAATCATTCAGGTCATTGTTTAATATTAATGTACTTAAAGTGTAGAACTTTTTTTTAATAAAATATTTACGTATCATCAGTTTGACTGACAAAGTATCTCCCATTTAAATTTTCTACCAATAAGTAAAAAGCAGAGGTGTGTATTTAAAATGTTCAGGTGACAATATATTAAATGTCTGCTGTTACCCAGCTTTAATTACTCAGATGTAACTGTGTAGATTTGGCTTTAGTATTTTGATATGTTTGGGACACCAAAGTGTCTAAAGCTATAGTGGACAACTCAGTAAATGAGTAGTTACAAAGAAGACTGAAATTTGGCTTGCAGACACCTGGGTAGAGGGGTCTGAGTGGGTTAGGCAGCCAGCAGCATCAGGGGCTGGGGAAGGGTTTCCACAAGGGTAAGTATAGTGCAGGCATTTAAACCACCTCTCCCTTCTTTTCCAGACGCTGCCCAGACTGGTCAAGATGTTGAGCCTCAGCCACTGGTGGAAGAAAACTTGGCAGTGGAGATAGAGGCTGAGGAAATGCCAGACCCAGAGGTCATCGTTGATGTGGAAAGCCAGGAAAATCCCTCAGACTGTTTCCCAGATCCAGCTGATGACTGATCTGGCATGCTTGCTGTTACACCCAGCCTTGAAGCCTACAGCACCCATCCTTTGCATCTCATAGTCCCACTGTGTGTAAGAATTGGTCCAGGAAAAAAAACCAGGAAATTAGGAGAAAGACATGAGGTGTCAGGCCTGCTAACCGCATTTAAAAAAAATAAATATATATACAAGGAAAAGCAGATGCTTGGCTTCAAGGCCACACTGCTGTGGGCTGACAGGTTCTCTAACAACCAAACTGGGCAGCTTGTTGATGCTTTGCCTGTTAATAGACCTGCAGCTAAACTGTGGAGCCTGAAATGAGATGGGCAGCTCTTCTGCTCCCTGCCACCCCACTCCTTGCCATGTTTAAAAAAAATAAATATATATACAAGGAAAAGCAGATGCTTGGCTTCAAGGCCACACTGCTGTGGGCTGACAGGTTCTCTAACAACCAAACTGGGCAGCTTGTTGATGCTTTGCCTGTTAATAGACCTGCAGCTAAACTGTGGAGCCTGAAATGAGATGGGCAGCTCTTCTGCTCCCTGCCACCCCACTCCTTGCCATGTCTCTTACAGCCAGCAGTTCCTGCAAGGGGCAGGCATGGCAGGCAGATAAAAAAAGTCCCAGACAGAAACAAGAACTTGCCAGACATTTCCTGAGAAAGCCTCTTTTCCAGAGATTTCAAGGCATTTTTGACAGGCCCTGCAGAAAAAAGCTCAATGGAGGTCTCGGCTAGGTATCTGCTGTGCTGGGTGTCTATCTGAATCACTCCTCCGAGCTCCAGCCCTTTGTGATTTGGTCCTCACCACGTGCTGTGTGGGACCAGGAGTGGTGGTGGTAGCAGGGGCTGCTGTGTGCAGTGATGTTGGCACTTGCCTTTTGATGCCTTGTAATGGCTTTTGCCAGAACCTCGTTGCTCGGGTTGTGAGTGAGTTAAAACAGCTCCATCACTAGCTTGCTTGCTTGCAGCAGGAGGGTGCCTGGGATGCGTAATTTTGGCAGAAACATTGATTATAATGCTGAGATTGTTCATCAGTGCAAGCTTTAGTGCCTTTAGTGTAATGGTTTAGCTACTGCAAGCTGATGAAGCTGGCCATCTGCCTGTGCATTTAGGCTTTTTCAGTGCTGTGTTACTTGGACAGACAGCAGCAATTTATAGACTCTCTTAGGTAATTCTTGCTGCTATGCATGTCCTGTTCTCCTCAGGGGAGGCTTGCAAGTAGAGCAGCTGGGGTAGACCTGCAGGGAAGAAGGATGAGGTGAGCAGAGGGCAAGGACTCGGTCCCAGACAGCAGGTAGCTGAGTCCCTGGCAAAGCTGCCTGGGGCTGCAGGGCTCTTGGGGCACAGGGAGTGCTGCAGATGCGCTGCCAGAGCAAGGTATTTACTCTGTAAGTGCATTTTGGTAGCTGGAAGTGAGACATGTTGGTGTTAACATAGCCCTGTGGCCTAGAAAGGCATGGTAGAGTAGAAGCAGAGATGGTACAGGCTGAGGCCGAAAGGGGTAGGGAGGTAGGGAGGTGCGTGTTGCATTCCTCTCTTCCCTTGTCATTTTGTTGTTCTTTCATATTGTGCCATGAATCCCTTGGAAACAGATTTGAGGTATGCCTTGTAAATGCCACCCAACGAGGTCTGTGAGTACCCCAGCAAAGTCAAAACCAAGCTGAAGCTGCTTCCCTCCCAGGTGGGGGAGCTGGTGGGACTGCTGCACGCTCACCTGAAGGCTGCATCTCTGTACATGGCAAAGCTCTGCACCCGTGACACCCAGCCATAGGTGGTTTTTGTTGTTTCCTTGTCCTGTGACTCTGTTTAGAAGACGTTTGGATCTCGTGTGCTGTGTTGGTGGTGATCCAGCCTTTCTGCTTTTTAAGGCTGCCGTAGGCATCAGATTTTCCACGGTAAGAGGGAGATAATAACTCTTTTCCTCATGGTGCTGTGCTATCTCCTTTCAGTACAAACATTCCTCAAAGGCTGTGAGTTCAATGACAAAAATGTGATGCCAAGTGCTTGGGGTGGCAACTGCCTGTAGGCAGCACAGTGGCAGTGAGTGATGCTGGGTGAACAGGGGCTGCTGCCCCCAAAGTGGGACACAGTCAGCTTTGCTTCTCTTCTGCACTTTCTGCCAGGGGCAGGCAGGGGACAGTCGACTCCTACATGCTTCGAAGGGTGAACGGTTCTCTGGGCTGCACTGGAGTAGATGTCAGCAGTGTTTTGGGTGCTGAGGGTGGCAGAGTTGGGCCACCCTTGTGCTGCCGCGCTGGTGCATCCTGACTTCAGCTTGTCCTGGTGCTGCCTTGCTTCTGTCAGCCCTGGAAGGGCTGGGGTGCCCTGTTAGCACCACCACTACACCACCATTGGTGTCACCCCAGTCCAGGAAGGATTTTTCCCATTGAGACAGGAGTCTGAGACTCAAGATGGCTTTATGGGGCACATGGCTTTATGAGGCGTATGTCTATGAGGACATGGCTGGTTTTCTGTCCTTCCCTGCTGAAGATGCTGTTCAGCAGCAGAGCAAAGGTTTCTGTTACTGTGAGGTGAGAAGTGCAGCCTGGGCTTTTCCTTTAACTGTATGTGTTCATGTCCAGCTATTGTTCTTTTTTGGTGGTTTTCTTTTCCCCGTTATGGTTTTGTTCCTAATAAAAACATCTGTTTTCTAACTTCTTTTGGAAATATTTAAGTTCTTTTATTTAATAATTGTTTCTTTATGGGTTTCACTGAAAGTACAGGCTGGTTTCCAAATTTTCACCCAGCCAACTGAAGGAAAGGTGGTAACAAGCCACTGCTGACTTGCGTAGTGTGGGGAACAGAGATCACAAGGGCATTTGTCACAAGGAGATCACAAGGAGAGGTCGTAGGGCAGTAGCATGCAACTAGTCCCTGATGGAGTGCGTGTGCTAATGTGCCTGCACATCTGTGTGCACCAGCAGCTCACCAAACCCTGCTCTGGTGCCTTGCACAGCCTGTGAGGTGCAGGGAAGGGATGCAGGGAGATGGTCTTATTTTACCCATCTTTATCCACCTGTATTTGTGACGCCTAAGAGACCTCAGCTGTGAGAGAGGATGCTTGACTGCATAGCTCCTTCTGAAAGGAGAGAACTTTCTCATGCTCACCCTTAGACAAGTGGGCCCAGAGGGTGCATAAAACCAATGTCCTGGTGGTTTGTGGTCATAGAAATCCCTTGACTTTACCAGTACAGGGTTAGCCCTGGAACAGTGGTGGGACTGGACACAGGTGATTGTGTCTTGCAGCCTGTGAACCCAGCACCCCAAGGAACCCCCTGCCTGAATTTGCAGCCTGATGATGGTGCTGCATCACCCAAGGCCATAGTGAGGATACTTCCAGCTGAAAGTATCTGGCAGAGTAATGGGTATGGACATATGCAGTGCTGCCAGGAATTTGACCAGAAACAGATGTCTGCTGCCTTTTTGGGACTTCTGCTGGCCCTGATGTTGCTGTGCCATGGCAGTCCTACCCTTGCTGGGTTGCTGAGGGAGCCCTTGGTGCCGGGGTGCCCCCAGGGGCCTGTGGCCTCCTGGGGGGTGCTGGTTGCACAGTGAGCTGACAGTCACGCCATCCTCTCTGGCCACTGGTCCTGGTTGGGAAGGCTGGGAGGAAGGCAGAGCCCATCCCTCTGCTCAGAGTGCTGGCAGGACAAGGGGAGCTCCACTCTCTGGGAAATGAGGATGTTCTGGGATATGGTTTCTTACCAGCTGAAACAAACCACCAGTGGTTTATAGTACTGTGCAGAATGGATGTTTAGATTTGTATCCATGTCAGTGTTTTGTGGTGAGAAGAGAAAGTTTTCCTTCTGCATGTGGCACATGCTAATCAACAAATGACATAAAATGTAATTCATAGTGCTTTCATCATGGAATTCATGCAGATTGTGAATATAAAAAGAGTTGGAGGATGATCTTGTTTGGCATAAGATGTACGTGAAAGCAAAAGCAGAAAGAAGACGTGGTAACAGCAAGCAGACAAAGGGAAATGATCTCTTTAGATTTTCTTAGCACAAAATTCTCATGTCAGTAAAGCTCCCCATCCTAGTAGTGAAACAGTTTGTATTCTGCTTTCCAACCTTGACCCCAGGCTACTGTGCCTGATGTCCTGGCGCATGTAGCCCTTGGAGTCCTACCTCCGGGCAGGCAGGAGTGAAGTGCCCCATAGACTTCCATAGGTAAACACGCAGAACCAGTAACAGAAGTGGGCAAGAAGAGCAGCATCACCTATGTCTGTCTGAGACAGAAGCAGAATTTGGTGATGTGTCGTCGCAGAGGCTTGGATTAGCATTTGGGTATTGTTTGTGCCTTTGTCCAGGCTGCGTAGTGCTGGGGTGCAGTCAAACCCTGCCTGTACAATGCTAGTGATGGTGAAGTCCCTCCTGAGCATATGCAATGCTCCCCTCTTGTCCTCCGGTGTAAAACAGGCTGGGAGACAACACCATTGCCCAGTGGGGACCCTGCGACCTTTGACAACCAGTGGCTGTATCCTGCATCGGTTTTGTTCACAATGAGCTCTGTGTTTCCTTTCTGCAAAAGTATGTGACCCATCTCTTAGGCAGGGGATGTGGTTGGAGACACCAGCGGTGGCTTTACCAAGAACCTAGAAGGTCCTTAGATGAAGCCCTTCTAGGTATTTGTGCTTTTCCAGCAAGCAAACAGAGGCAGGCATTGTGTTAATTATATCAAGAATAATTTAACTTTGGTATTATCAGTTAAGAGATCTCTTTTGGCTATGAGGGACCACTGGGAAATGTGGGGTCTTTCTGGCTGGCCTCCCTCGGACACCACTTTTGTGGCTCCAGGCTGGCTGATGGGCTGAAGTGGAGCTCTTGGCCAGCTCTGGGATGGAGAGACTCTTACTTCCAGCTGTCTTGATCACCAGCAAGAAACGTGGCTGAATCACACAGCCATCCACTGTTGATAGGGACTAAAGAAACTGCCTGTATCAAAGCAGGCTGACCAGAGAGCAAAGGATGTTGAATGATAAGGCAGATGGGGTGTGGGGGAGGAGGAACGC